ATAATGTGTATTACATATACTCGTATGGTAGTATTCATACTGTGATCACCCTCTGAATAATGTGTATTACATATACTCGTATGGTAGTATTCATACTGTGATCACCCTCTGTATAATGTGTATTACATATACTCGTATGGTAGTATTCATACTGTGATCACCCTCTGTATAATGTGTATTACATATACTCGTATGGTAGTATTCACACTGTGATCACCCTCTGAATAATGTGTATTACATATACTCGTATGGTAGTATTCATACTGTGATCACCCTCTGAATAATGTGTATTACATATACTCGTATGGTAGTATTCATACTGTGATCACCCTCTGTATAATGTGTATTACATATACTCGTATGGTAGTATTCATACTGTGATCACCCTCTGAATAATGTGTATTACATATACTCGTATGGTAGTATTCATACTGTGATCACCCTCTGTATAATGTGTATTACATATACTCGTATGGTAGTATTCATACTGTGATCACCCTCTGAATAATGTGTATTACATATACTCGTATGGTAGTATTCATACAGTGATCACCCTCTGTATAATGTGTATTACATATACTCGTATGGTAGTATTCACACTGTGATCACCCTCTGAATAATGTGTATTACATATACTCGTAATATTCATACTGTGATCGCTCCCTGTATAATGTGTATTACATATACTCGTATGGTAGTATTCACACTGTGATCACCCTCTGAATAATGTGTATTACATATACTCGTAATATTCATACTGTGATCGCTCCCTGTATAATGTGTATTACATATACTCGTATGGTAGTATTCATACCGTGATCACCCCCTGTATAATGTGTACTACATATACTCGTATGGTAGTATTCATACTGTGATCACCCTCTGAATAATGTGTATTACATATACTCGTATGGTAATATTCATACCGTGATCACCCTCTGAATAATGTGTATTAGATATACTCGTATGGTAGTATTCATACCGTGATCACCCTCTGTATAATGTGTACTACATATACTCGTATGGTAGTATTCATACCGTGATCACCCTCTGTATAATGTGTACTACATATACTCGTATGGTAGTATTCATACCGTGATCACCCTCTGTATAATGTGTACTACATATACTCGTATGGTAGTATTCATACCGTGATCACCCTCTGAATAATGTGTATTACATATACTCGTATGGTAGTATTCATACCGTGATCACCCTCTGTATAATGTGTATTACATATACTCGTATGGTAGTATTCATACTGTGATCCCCCTCTATATAATGTGTACTACATATACTCGTATGGTAGTATTCATACTGTGATCCCCCTCTATATAATGTGTACTACATATACTCGTATGGTAGTATTCACACCGTGATCACCCTCTGAATAATGTGTATTACATATACTCGTATGGTAGTATTCATACTGTGATCACCCTCTGAATAATGTGTATTACATATACTCGTATGGTAGTATTCATACTGTGATCAACCTCTGAATAATGTGTACTACATATACTCGTATGGTAGTATTCATACCGTGATCACCCTCTGTATAATGTGTACTACATATACTCGTATGGTAGTATTCATACTGTGATCACCCTCTGTATAATGTGTACTACATATACTCGTATGGTAGTATTCATACTGTGATCACCCTCTGTATAATGTGTATTACATATACTCGTATGGTAGTATTCACACTGTGATCACCCTCTGTATAATGTGTACTACATATACTCGTATGGTAGTATTCATACTGTGATCACCCTCTGTATAATGTGTATTAGATATACTCGTATGGTAGTATTCATACCGTGATCACCCTCTGTATAATGTGTACTACATATACTCGTATGGTAGTATTCATACTGTGATCACCCTCTGTATAATGTGTATTAGATATACTCGTATAGTAGTATTCATACCGTGATCACCCTCTGTATAATGTGTATTAGATATACTCGTATGGTAGTATTCATACCGTGATCACCCTCTGTATAATGTGTACTACATATACTCGTATGGTAGTATTCATACTGTGATCACCCTCTGTATAATGTGTATTACATATACTCGTATGGTAGTATTCATACCGTGATCACCCTCTGTATAATGTGTATTACATATACTCGTATGGTAGTATTCATACCGTGATCACCCTCTGTATAATGTGTATTACATATACTCGTATGGTAGTATTCACACCGTGATCACCCTCTGAATAATGTGTATTACATATACTCGTATGGTAGTATTCACACCGTGATCACCCTCTGAATAATGTGTACTACATATACTCGTATGGTAGTATTCACACCGTGATCACCCTCTGAATAATGTGTATTACATATACTCGTATGGTAGTATTCATACTGTGATCACCCTCTGTATAATGTGTACTACATATACTCGTATGGTAGTATTCACACCGTGATCACCCTCTGTATAATGTGTATTACATATACTCGTATGGTAGTATTCACACCGTGATCACCCTCTGAATAATGTGTATTACATATACTCGTATGGTAGTATTCATAATGTGATCACCCTCTGAATAATGTGTATTACATATACTCGTATGGTAGTATTCATACTGTGATCACCCTCTGAATAATGTGTACTACATATACTCGTATGGTAGTATTCATACCGTGATCACCCTCTGAATAATGTGTATTACATATACTCGTATGGTAGTATTCATACTGTGATCACCCTCTGTATAATGTGTACTACATATACTCGTATGGTAGTATTCACACCGTGATCACCCTCTGAATAATGTGTATTACATATACTCGTATGGTAGTATTCATAATGTGATCACCCTCTGAATAATGTGTATTACATATACTCGTATGGTAGTATTCATACTGTGATCACCCTCTGAATAATGTGTACTACATATACTCGTATGGTAGTATTCATACCGTGATCACCCTCTGAATAATGTGTATTACATATACTCGTATGGTAGTATTCATACTGTGATCACCCTCTGTATAATGTGTACTACATATACTCGTATGGTAGTATTCATACTGTGATCACCCTCTGTATAATGTGTATTACATATACTCGTATGGTAGTATTCATACCGTGATCACCCTCTGTATAATGTGTACTACATATACTCGTATGGTAGTATTCATACCGTGATCACCCTCTGTATATTGTGTATTACATATACTCGTATGGTAGTATTCATACTGTGATCACCCTCTGTATATTGTGTATTACATATACTCGTATGGTAGTATTCATACCGTGATCACCCTCTGTATAATGTGTATTAGATATACTCGTATGGTAGTATTCATACCGTGATCACCCTCTGTATAATGTGTATTAGATATACTCGTATGGTAGTATTCATACCGTGATCACCCTCTGTATAATGTGTATTAGATATACTCGTATGGTAGTATTCATACAGTGATCACCCTCTGTATAATGTGTATTAGATATACTCGTATGGTAGTATTCATACTGTGATCACCCTCTGTATATTGTGTGTTAGAGTGTGTTTTCTCTGCTGCTATCATATAGAAAGTAGTGTGTTTCTACCGTAGTGACTTCGTCCACTATCTCTTTGACTCGTTCACTTTGAAACGCAGTGATGGAGAAATGTAGTGAAGATCCAGGGGGTTGAAACAACATTAGGAAGCATCCTCTAGAGACGAGAGACCTTCTTCTTCACGGTATTTAGAAAGCAAACCATCTAATCCTCGTCCAGACTGTTGGCCCAGCATACTAACTAGACCCTGAGTGATGGGATGCAGAGAGCGAGGTGAGGCTCAGCGGAGACAAGCCTCAGAGGGTTAGGGCACTCGCTCCGTAATTGTTATGGGAGGCGTGCCGATTGGTGGGGGAGAGGGGCTGAGCGGCCAATAGGAGAAGAGGAGAGGAGATTCAATTCCCAAAGGGGGAGAAAACTGTCACCAGGGGGCAACAGAGGGTCGAATTCAAACAGCAGACACCAGCAGATAAGAGTGTGTGTGTGTGTGTGTGTGTGTGTGTGTGTGTGTGTGTGTGTGTGTGTGTGTGTGTGTGTGTGTGTGTGTGTGTGTGTCCTTTTGTGCGACAGTGAGAAAGACAGAGAGTGTGTGTGTGGGAGAAAATCTATGTATGTGGGATAGAAAAAGGCAAGTGTGCATGAATTGTCTGGAGGTTTTTGAGTGAGTGTGTGTGTGTGTGTGTGTGTGTGTGTGTGTGTGTGTGTGTGTGTGTGTGTGTGACAATGAATGTACATTGAGGAAGGAGAAAGCAAGTGTGTTTATGTGTGCATGTATTACTTGTCGGTCTGAAGGTGTGAGAGCCAGTGAGTCAAAGAGGGTGTGTGTGTGTGTGTGTGTGTGTGTGTGTGTGTGTGTGTGTGTGTGTGTGTGTGTGTGTGTGTGTGTGTGTGTGTGTGTGTGTGAGAGAAAGATAATGTACATAGAAGAAGAAGAAAGCTGCATATATTGTACGTCTGTTGGGACGTGTGTGTGGGAGAAAATCAATGTATGTGGGATAGAAAAATGTGTAATTCCCTGTGCATGAATTGTCTGTCTGGAGGTGTGTGTGTGTGTGTGTGTGTGTGTGTGTGTGTGTGTGTGTGTGACTCACTGTGACTCAGAGGATGTGTGTATCCATACAATGATTGTATGTGAAAGAAGAAGCAGGTGAGTGTGTTTCTGTTTGCATACTGTGTACATGTCCGTCTAGATATGTGTGGGTGTGTGTGTGTGTGTGTGTGTGTGTGTGTGTGTGTGTGTGTGTGTGTGTGTGTGTGTGTGTGTGTGTGTGTGTGTGTGTGTGTGTGTGTGTGTGTGTGTGTGTGTGTTGGCATGGAATATTAAATTCAATATATATGTAAAATGTACATGGTAAAATGTGTGGTTTGAAGTCTGAGAGAAGGAGCAGAGAGTTCTGAGAGGTGAGTTATTATAAAGTGGCTTTGCAGCCGGCATATCATTCTGAATGACTGCTATCGCTCAGATACTCACACTAAGACGGGTCTGACGGCGTTGTTCATGTTTCCGTACGCAGCTCGTCCCAGCAGCTCTCTGAAGCAGCTCTCTGCCAGCGCTGAGGGGTTCTCCTCTCCCTCCTGACCCACCGAGGGGGTGCCGGGGTGCCCCGCCCTGCAGAGACAAACAGAAACACGGGTCAGAGGGACAGTGAGACTCATGGTGAGGGAACGCACTCAAAGGCATCCAATAGCCTGCATGGTCATCAATGGGGTGACACTTCTAAGTCTATGAGAAAAGGACCTCACTTTGTACGTAATTTAACTTCCCCAGTTAGGTTTTACCAACTTCAGAATCAAATCAAGTTTTATTTATACAGCACATTTATAAACGATTTTTTATGGAGCCAAAGTGCTGTACTAAAAATAACAGCCTACAGTAGAGACACTTTACAGCAAATACAACAACACAGACTGTTCAGAATATCAGTGTGAGAAACATGACACCCTCTATCCTTAGACCCTCTGTCCTTAGACCCTCTGTCCTTAGACCCTCTGTCCTCAGACCCTCTGTCCTCAGACCCTCTGTCCTCAGACCCTCTGTCCTCAGACCCTCTGTCCTTAGACCCTCTGTCCTTAGACCCTCTGTCCTTAGACCCTCTGTCCTTAGACCCTCTGTCCTTAGACCCTCTGTCCTCAGACCCTCTGTCCTCAGACCCTCTGTCCTTAGACCCTCTGTCCTCAGACCCTCTGTCCTCAGACCCTCTGTCCTCAGACCCTCTGTCCTTAGACCCTCTGTCCTCAGACCCTCTGTCCTCAGACCCTCTGTCCTCAGACCCTCTATCCTTAGACCCTCTGTCCTTAGACCCTCTGTCCTCAGACCCTCTGTCCTCAGACCCTCTGTCCTTAGACCCTCTGTCCTTAGACCCTCTGTCCTTAGACCCTCTGTCCTTAGACCCTCTGTCCTTAGACCCTCTATCCTTAGACCCTCTGTCCTCAGACCCTCTGTCCTCAGACCCTCTGTCCTTAGACCCTCTATCCTTAGACCCTCTGTCCTTAGACCCTCTATCCTCAGACCCTCTGTCCTCAGACCCTCTGTCCTCAGACCCTCTGTCCTTAGACCCTCTATCCTTAGACCCTCTGTCCTTAGACCCTCTGTCCTTAGACCCTCTGTCCTCAGACCCTCTGTCCTCAGACCCTCTGTCCTCAGACCCTCTGTCCTCAGACCCTCTGTCCTTAGACCCTCTATCCTTAGACCCTCTGTCCTTAGACCCTCTGTCCTTAGACTCTCTATCCTTAGACCCTCTGTCCTTAGACCCTCTGTCCTTAGACCCTCACATCGTACAAAGAAACACTTCCAGAGAAAACCCACAGTTTAAAGGGAACAAGGGAGAAACCTCAGGGAGAGCAACAGAGGAGGGATCCCTCTCCCAGGACGGACAGACGTGCAATAGATGCCGTGTGTAAATCCAAGAGATAATACATTTTACAGCATATAGACCGAATGTTAGGAAATGCATGTGTCTGTAATAAGAAGATGAATCCACGAGGATGTCAGCTACAATCCTGTGGAAGCCATCAGGGAAGCAGCATGGCGAGACCCAAGGCAGGACCGCAGAGACAGGTTCAGCCACGACCCGAAGTCCACGACTTAATCCAGAACTCAGGATTGGATCAGAAGCATAAAAGTCAGATTGAATAGAAGTCTATGAGAAAATTACCTCACTTTGTACGTAATTTAACTACCTCAGTTAGGTTTTACCAACTTCAGAAGATGAATAACTGCTGTGCTATTATATCTGAATATATGCAATATACTTCAGACAGAAAGGACTGGAAGCTGATCACATCTCTAGAAGCAGAAACATGGGTCAGAGTGAGACTCATCGTTTCCTGAGCAAAGAGACACAGAAACGGTGAGGGAATGTTTGTGCGTAATTACATTAAATGGCCAGCGGAGGGCGATAGTGTTGGTTGCATAAGAGCCAGATTGAATAGAAGTCTATGAGGCATTTGTCATATTCTTGTTGTGCTTTTTGGGATATTTTTGTAAATTTAAATGTTTTATTTTATTATTTGCACATTTATTTATTTATTTTCTTGACATTTGATATAAAACATTTTAATTATATTATTTTTACATTTTATATTTTAAATGTATTTATTTACTTAGGTTTTTTAAATATATGTTATACACTAATAACAGATGTATAATAGTTCTTTATTTGCTCATGTCTTCACATCTTAATACCTCTCAGAGAATTCCTCGAGTGTGTATCTTGACAATAAACCTGATTCTGATTCTGAGAGACTACAAGCCAAGAATCAATTCTTCATATCAGAGCACAAATCTGTAAAGAGGGGGAGGATCAGAACGCAATAGCATTTATTAAAAATAAAAAAACCTTCAGGATATGAAAGAAAAATGAAGGACTAAAATCAATCAGAGCATCTGAGAGAAAAGAGGAATCAAATGAGAGTATCGACCAGTGTGTGTGTGTGTGTGTGTGTGTGTGTGTGTGTGTGTGTGTGTGTGTGTGTGTGTGTGTGTGTGTGTGTGTGTGTGTGTGGGGTAGCTTTATATCAGCAGAGAGAAACACAACAAAAAAAGTGTGCAGCAGAGAAATCAGGTCCTACAGATTTACAAAAATATATGTAAACATCAGCAGGAGAGGACTCTTTAAAGTAGAGACACTACATACTGATATACACCTGAACATCAGCAGGAGAGGACTCTTTAAAGTAGAGACACTACATACTGATATACACCTGAACATCAGCAGGAGAGGACTCTTTAAAGTAGAGACACTGCATACTGATATACACCTGAACATCAGCAGGAGAGGACTCTTTAAAGTAGAGACACTACATACTGATATACACCTGAACATCAGCAGGAGAGGACTCTTTAAAGTAGAGACACTACATACTGATATACACCTGAACATCAGCAGGAGAGGACTCTTTAAAGTAGAGACACTACATACTGATATACACCTGAACATCAGCAGGAGAGGACTCTTTAAAGTAGAGACACTGCATACTGATATACACCTGAACATCAGCAGGAGAGGACTCTTTAAAGTAGAGACACTACATACTGATATACACCTGAACATCAGCAGGAGAGGACTCTTTAAAGTAGAGACACTACACACTGCTATACACCTGAACATCAGCAGGAGAGGACTCTTTAAAGTAGAGACACTACATACTGATATACACCTGAACATCAGCAGGAGAGGACTCTTTAAAGTAGAGACACTACATACTGACATACACCTGAACATCAGCAGGAGAGGACTCTTTAAAGTAGAGACACTACATACTGATATACACCTGAACATCAGCAGGAGAGGACTCTTAAAGTAGAGACACTACATACTGATATACACCTGAACATCAGCAGGAGAGGACTCTTTAAAGTAGAGACACTACATACTGATATACACCTGAACATCAGCAGGAGAGGACTCTTTAAAGTAGAGACACTACATACTGATATACACCTGAACATCAGCAGGAGAGGACTCTTTAAAGTAGAGACACTACATACTGATATACACCTGAACATCAGCAGGAGAGGACTCTTTAAAGTAGAGACTCTACATACTGATATACACCTGAACATCAGCAGGAGAGGACTCTTTAAAGTAGAGACACTACATACTGATATACACCTGAACATCAGCAGGAGAGGACTCTTTAAAGTAGAGACACTACATACTGATATACACCTGAACATCAGCAGGAGAGGACTCTTTAAAGTAGAGACACTACATACTGATATACACCTGAACATCAGCAGGAGAGGACTCTTTAAAGTAGAGACACTACATACTGATATACACCTGAACATCAGCAGGAGAGGACTCTTTAAAGTAGAGACAATACATACTGATATACACCTGAACATCAGCAGGAGAGGACTCTTTAAAGTAGAGACACTACATACTGATAAACACCTGAACATCAGCAGGAGAGGACTCTTTAAAGTAGATACACTACATACTGATATACACCTGAACATCAGCAAGAGAGGACTCTTTAAAGTAGAGACACTACATACTGATATACACCTGAACATCAGCAGGATAGGACTCTTTAAAGTAGAGACACTACATACTGATATACACCTGAACATCAGCAGGAGAGGACTCTTTAAAGTAGAGACACTACATACTGATATACACCTGAACATCAGCAGGAGAGGACTCTTTAAAGTAGAGACACTACATACTGATATACACCTGAACATCAGCAGGAGAGGACTCTTTAAAGTAGAGACACTACATACTGATATACACCTGAACATCAGCAGGAGAGGACTCTTTAAAGTAGAGACACTACATACTGATATACACCTGAACATCAGCATGAGAGGACTCTTTAAAGTAGAGACACTACATACTGATATACACCTGAACATCAGCAGGAGAGGACTCTTTAAAGTAGAGACACTACACACTGATATACACCTGAACATCAGCAGGAGAGGACTCTTTAAAGTAGAGACACTACATACTGATATACACCTGAACATCAGCAGGAAAGGACTCTTTAAAGTAGAGACACTACATACTGATATACACCTGAACATCAGCAGGAGAGGACTCTTTAAAGTAGAGACACTACATACTGATATACACCTGAACATCAGCAGGAGAGGACTCTTTAAAGTAGAGACACTACATACTGATATACACCTGAACATCAGCAGGAGAGGACTCTTTAAAGTAGAGTCACTACATACTGATATACACCTGAAAATCAGCAGGAGAGGACTCTTTAAAGTAGAGACACTACATACTGATATACACCTGAACATCAGCAGGAAAGGACTCTTTAAAGTAATGAAAACCCATGGTTGTGCTTTAGTATGGGCCTTTTCTCCTCTAGTAGATCTTGTAGCTCTACAAACTGAACACGGTAAAACGTCTTGTAAACAAACGAGTCCTCAGTTCTGGCAGGACACCAAAACGGCCTCCCGTTATGTGTGATATCTATGAAATAATGCGACAGTAAATCACGTACAGATGGACCGTGGGCAGCGGGGTCTCCGGAGGGAAACATTGCAGTTACTGTATCCCACACAGCAGGAAATGAAACGCTCGTTAGGAGCAGCGACAGAAATGGACATCTCTGCTTTAATAGAAGGAGGATTGGTGATGTTTA